CAGCAGGCACAACCGTTGAGCATCGTCTTATCAACACTCGACATTGATTTGTTGGTTCTAGAAGTAAGAACCAATCACGTTCGATTGCTACTCAACAGTTGTGTCTCTTGAACGCACCCAATAACAATCTGTAGTTGCATAAATCGCTTCAAACAAGCTGAACTATGCGCATATCATTATGTCTAAATCGCGTATGCCCGCGAATCACTTTGTCTAGTCGGCGGATATTAATTTCTACGCCCACAGGTATTAAGCCCTTATTCATAATTAACATTCATCGAATTTCTGTGTTCCACTATCTTTCTGTGAAAGTCTAAGGGCCGCAAAAGCCAATTGATTGTGCGGAAATGAGGAACATTTTAATCTTGTTGTTGGTTTGATTAATTGTTAGCATTTATTGCTTTTTATTTTGTTGCGTAGGAGAACCTGGATAACGCTAAATACGCGATATCATTAGCGCGGAAATGCGGCGCGCGTGTCTATGCACTGCCGGAAGATATCACCGAAGTGAAGCCGAGAATGGTAATGACGGTATTCGCCTGCTTGATGGCCATGGACTACATCCCGAACATGGATTCTGTGAAAAATCAGCCGAATAACGTGAACGATGGCCAATAATGTTGACGCCTATTTGTTCTACTATATACTTTTTGTACACAGAAACTTTTGAACCGGCCGTATCGCTTTGCACCTCTTCCACGAGCGTAAGACTTGTATATATGTAGTTTAAGTTAGCTTGAGAAAAGTAGTACCAAGGAGTATTACTACTAGAAAAAGTTGACAAGACGAGAAGAACTCGAGAACTTGAGAATCCCGACGAGATAAAAGATTCCCGTTTGAGCGAATAGTCGCGCGAAATATGGCAAAAATCATGTGTTTGACGAAAGAAATTATTTTACCGTCAAATTTAAATATTTCTTAACTCTATAAAATATAAGTATATAAAATATCAATATAATAGTGCATTTGTGATACTTTAAATATATATACAATGTAGTAAGATTTTCACCTGCAAAATAAACGATCGAAATTTGAAATAATTTTGAAATTAAAAAAATGGATTTTTTATATTAAAGTATAAGGTGACCAGACAATTTCTCAACTAAACTATTTAAGATTCATGATATGCCGTATATTGATATTTTCGTATCAGACAGTATATTATATAAAGAGTGTGCAAATTGTTTTGAATTAGTGTTATTTAGCTGTAAATTTTCTCGTACATGGTGATTGATTGTCGTGTTATTATGCAATGTGGGATTCTTCATTCCCATCGTTTTTGCAATCATATCACTTGTTTCCACTTTATATACTACTTGTCACATTGTAAAAATCAATTTTATACCGAGAAGTGGGCAAATAAAGAACACGGTAAAAATCATCGAGAAATATTTACAATGCATACCGAAATATTTAGAAAGGTGAATATACACAGGATATTCAATTCGACATTAATTTTAACGATAAAAGATTTTGAGAAAAGTTCTCTAAATCCAAGTTTAATTAGCGAGATACACTGAATGCAGAACTTTAAAAGTATAATATATTCCGATAAATGATAACTTTTCTAGAAATTTTCTCTTAGGAAAATTGATTTTTGATTTGATTCGAGAAATTAAGGAACATTTTGTATATATATTTCAAGTAAATAAATCGTCTGGCGCAAAGTGAATGAAGTTTGACATGAAATTTAAAAACTCATATTATATACAGTATAGATATAAATATACTTAACACAATGTATACGTACGTATATTTGATAGTATAGATGTAAGAGACTTGTGATCTGTTTGAATTATTATTTTACGCGCTCTCAGTGATTCGCAATGTTTATCAGAGGATTATGATACTCTAAAAACTTGTTAGTTCAGTTTCTTGCGCATCAATATCACATAAGCGGATTTTATATCGAGCAAGTAATTTACAATGATTATACAAATTACACATCAAATAATATTTTTTTATATACATATATTATATGAGAATATTGATAAATTTTTATATATTTTGTCTGGCTCTAAACAAAAATCCGTTGCTGAACTATAAAGTGAAGGCTTCTGATAATTCATCGTTGAAATCTGTCGCCACTCTAGCGCGGTAACAGTTTCTATGACATTCATATATTGGAGACGACATATTATTCAAAAATATCAGTCGATTATGTGCGTCATTAGTCGCCAGATTATGTGCGTTGTAAGTGGACAGGTAATGAATAATAATAATGTAATCATATTGACACAAAAATTATTATAATCGTGCCATTATTACTACTGAGGTGTAATTTGATATTTACATAATATTTATAATCAATTCGAAAATCGGAACGTACTTATGCAACTAATAGTTAATATTAAAATATTCGCGATTGCTCTTTGCAAATAAAAAGTAAAGTGTAAATTATGTCTTCTTTTTTCTCTCTCTCAATTTTGCAAGTTTATATAACGCGTTTTGTGTGTGTAGCATATGCAGATTGCAAAAAATTAATCGTTTTCAACAAATAAATGATTCTTATGTATGAAACAAAGTCGCAAAATATATCAAAATGATTAGAATTCTTTTGAGAAAATTTTAATACGAGAGGGAGGGGCGAGGGGGAGATAATTTCATCATATATATTACATATAATTAGAATTTTTAATTAGGACTTTTTTAATAGAAGAAGGGGAGAGGAAGATAAGAAGAATTAAAAGAAATTTATGAAAAATTTAATATACTTTGCATAATTATCATTGAGACTTGAATTACGATAGATCATTGGTTAATTATTATTATATTCAGATGTTAATTCATTGTATTAGACGATATAAGAAATTATATACGATGAATATAACTAATTGTAAGTGCAATGCGTTTTATCGGTATATTTGTATAGATCATTTTATTGCATTAAATTTCTTCTCTTAAGACATCATTGCATTATTATTCCAAGAGCAAACAGTAGATGCGTATGAACGCGTGATTGTAATGTATTTATGTAACACGTATTAGTAAAAAAAATTGCTTGGGATAAAAGAATAGAAAAATCGATTTGTAATGCAAACTTGGAATATTTATGTTATGTATTTAATTATGTTCTTGTATCAATCGCGCGATTTGGAAATTCTCAAGGGCTATTGGCAATTTGACTAATTAAAGCTAAGTATTGCAATCATTGAATAACAATCTGAATTTACAATGATCACTGTATGTGTGCGTGCATTTCATATATACACATATATACGCGCTAATACGCACATATACACGCATACTATGTATATTGTGTGTGTGTATGTACGTGTCATGCGTCCATCGTGTAGTTATAACTTAACGTGTACGTAATTTAAATAAAAGAACTTTATTATATATAATATCTTATTACTTTATTATTAATTAATGGCAAAGCAGAATGCAAAATAAACTATTGGAAAAATAATTTTACTTTCAACAAATAACAGTGATAGTCAAAAACGAATATATTTTGCAAAAATTTATTTAACAATTTCTATATATACATACATTGAAATTAGGACTGCCATCCGTCTGGTTTTCCCTGGATTTGTCCTAGTTTTTCGAGCGTCCGAGAACGTCCGGGGGGATTTTTCAAAGTAGTCCGGGTTTTTTGAGCACGTGACACAAGGCGATGCGCGCGTCGCATTTTGAGGCTGTGTCTGTGTATGTTGTACGTGCGGTATTGTCGGAGCCATAGACATAGTATATCTAGACCGAGTGTTGAGAAGTGGGGGCCGATGCCCACGTAGAAAAGGACATACTCTGTTTCGTGCCCCTTGCGTTCTCTCTCGCTCGCACGTAGCATGACGAAAGAGAGCGCTATGCTCTGTGCGAGCGAGAGAGAACGCAAGGGGCACGAAACAGAGTATGTCCTTTTCTACGTGAGCATCGGTCCCCACTCCTTAAATAAAGGCAAACGCTCGGTCTAGATATACTATGTCTATGGTCGGAGCCTTAGGGCCTTAGGGCGTTGGGATCATTGACAGCGAAATAAAAAATGTTGTATTACATTATTACTATTATTAATAATTCTTAATAATAATGACTACTAATAATATTAATGATTATTAATGATTATTAATGATTAATAAAAATTATTCTATTTTTATCGCTTTATCAACAGTTGCAATAATTTCACATTATGAATTATGGATGCCCGGATTTCAATTGGAAAAGTCCGGGGTTTTAAACCTTTCAATCCTAGGTCTGTATAATTACAGATGGCAGCCCTAATCGAAATACACATATATGTTAAAACATGTGACGCATAAAATTATAAATAGAATTCTGTCTTGTATTTTGTCATAAATTATAGATCTAAAGAGGTATTGAGTGTGATTAAAATATTACGCGCGCTACACATCTCTATGAAATTGGTATCTCGATTGAAAGTTTTATCAATAATCCTATTTGCATTCGCAATAGTTCTACAGTTTCTGATAAGTTTTAGAAAAAGTTCCGTCGATCTAGATAAAAAAATTATACCTCAAAAAATGAGGTGCTAACTATTCATGGCACATTTAAAAAACGTCATTTAGACTATGGAATTCTATAATTCTCGAAGAGTTCTATAGTTCCTGATAGATTTTAATAATAGTTCCAGTTTTTAAATATTTTTAAACAATTTTTTAATCTTAGCGCTGGTATCGCACTTTGAGAACTATGCTAGCTATTTCCACCGTTTTTTCGACAGTTTTCAACAATTCTTCCATAGTTCTCAATATTTATCAATAGTTCCGGCTTTTAAATACTTTTAAATAGTTTTTTAATCGTAGCGTTGATACCGTTAAGAGGATGCCGGACCGTCCTGTTTTACCGGCCATAATAATTACACTTTGCAGACCGAAATTATTTTATTGGTTACATGAAATAAGAAATCCTTTTCCACGATTAAAGTATATACATCAACAAAGTGGGAACCTTATGCTTTTACGTTAAAAACGAAGAAAAGCTAAAAAATTACAGTTTTTTGACCGGTTTCTTGCGTCAGGTCGTAACAATATTTGCTTAATAAAAAAGTTTTGCAGTTTGTATGTACAAAATAAGATAGATCTCCACTCGGAAGTGCATGAAAAAATATAAGTGAACATTTAGAAACGTGTTTAGAAGCCTAGTAAAAAAGATTACTGTCTACAAAATTTTAGATGTTCTCTGGATAAAGATTACTGTCTACAAAATTTTAGATGTTGTCTGGATATGTGTGTTGCTAGGGAAATGGCTGCCCTGATTTCACTTGTCACATCGTTGTAACAGTTTAGATATAATATATGTATATAATATAATGTGTGTGTGTGTGCGCGCGCGCGCCCGCGTTTGCGTGTGTGTGTGCGTGTGTGCGTGCGTGTGTGTGTGTGTTATAATATAATATATGTATAAAAGTCTGTGTTCCCCAACAATCGCATCCATGTACTCAATATATTAGTCTGTGCTCACACGGACACTGCACACATACACGATGTCGTAGGTATATGAGAAAAATTGCCTCATTCCACCGTCGTCACTCGACTTGACTTTGAACTCCGTCGCCGACTGTCGTACAGCGTGATATAGCCTTGCTCGCAGAGATAAGCTATTTGACCCTTTTCGAGAGCTCCTTCGTCGCCAGCGCAATTTTCTTGTTCTCTCGGTCACGTATGACGTGATTTTTCCGTCATTATTTCCGCTTTCAATCGCGGGTATATTTATAAATTTCTCTGTTCATTTTAGCGAACGAATCTCTCCGCTGATTAATTACAGAAGAAAAGCAATCGCAAACATCTCGCATCCTTATTTTTTCCGATTTCGCTCATTTTTAATTAAGAGAATTACTTTCTCCTTTTTCTTTAATGCGACTCCTATCGCGGAGAATAGATTTCGAAAGACCTTCACTCCTGTAAATAAAACATTCTCGAAGCTTTTAAAATGCGCAAATTGTTATCTACGTGGTCAGTTATGCAAGAGCGCTATGCTCTGTGCGAGCGAGAGAGAACGCAAGGGGCACGAAACAGAGTATGTCCTTTTCTACGTGGGCATCGGTCCCCACTCCTTAAATAAAGGCAAACGCTCGGTCTAGATATACTATGTCTATGGTCGGAGCCTTAGGGCCTTAGGGCGTTGGGATCATTGACAGCGAAATAAAAAATGTTGTATTACATTATTACTATTATTAATAATTCTTAATAATAATGACTACTAATAATATTAATGATTATTAATGATTATTAATGATTAATAAAAATTATTCTATTTTTATCGCTTTATCAACAGTTGCAATAATTTCACATTATGAATTATGGATGCCCGGATTTCAATTGGAAAAGTCCGGGGTTTTAAACCTTTCAATCCTAGGTCTGTATAATTACAGATGGCAGCCCTAATCGAAATACACATATATGTTAAAACATGTGACGCATAAAATTATAAATAGAATTCTGTCTTGTATTTTGTCATAAATTATAGATCTAAAGAGGTATTGAGTGTGATTAAAATATTACGCGCGCTACACATCTCTATGAAATTGGTATCTCGATTGAAAGTTTTATCAATAATCCTATTTGCATTCGCAATAGTTCTACAGTTTCTGATAAGTTTTAGAAAAAGTTCCGTCGATCTAGATAAAAAAATTATACCTCAAAAAATGAGGTGCTAACTATTCATGGCACATTTAAAAAACGTCATTTAGACTATGGAATTCTATAATTCTCGAAGAGTTCTATAGTTCCTGATAGATTTTAATAATAGTTCCAGTTTTTAAATATTTTTAAACAATTTTTTAATCTTAGCGCTGGTATCGCACTTTGAGAACTATGCTAGCTATTTCCACCGTTTTTTCGACAGTTTTCAACAATTCTTCCATAGTTCTCAATATTTATCAATAGTTCCGGCTTTTAAATACTTTTAAATAGTTTTTTAATCGTAGCGTTGATACCGTTAAGAGGATGCCGGACCGTCCTGTTTTACCGGCCATAATAATTACACTTTGCAGACCGAAATTATTTTATTGGTTACATGAAATAAGAAATCCTTTTCCACGATTAAAGTATATACATCAACAAAGTGGGAACCTTATGCTTTTACGTTAAAAACGAAGAAAAGCTAAAAAATTACAGTTTTTTGACCGGTTTCTTGCGTCAGGTCGTAACAATATTTGCTTAATAAAAAAGTTTTGCAGTTTGTATGTACAAAATAAGATAGATCTCCACTCGGAAGTGCATGAAAAAATATAAGTGAACATTTAGAAACGTGTTTAGAAGCCTAGTAAAAAAGATTACTGTCTACAAAATTTTAGATGTTCTCTGGATAAAGATTACTGTCTACAAAATTTTAGATGTTGTCTGGATATGTGTGTTGCTAGGGAAATGGCTGCCCTGATTTCACTTGTCACATCGTTGTAACAGTTTAGATATAATATATGTATATAATATAATGTGTGTGTGTGTGCGCGCGCGCGCCCGCGTTTGCGTGTGTGTGTGCGTGTGTGCGTGCGTGTGTGTGTGTGTTATAATATAATATATGTATAAAAGTCTGTGTTCCCCAACAATCGCATCCATGTACTCAATATATTAGTCTGTGCTCACACGGACACTGCACACATACACGATGTCGTAGGTATATGAGAAAAATTGCCTCATTCCACCGTCGTCACTCGACTTGACTTTGAACTCCGTCGCCGACTGTCGTACAGCGTGATATAGCCTTGCTCGCAGAGATAAGCTATTTGACCCTTTTCGAGAGCTCCTTCGTCGCCAGCGCAATTTTCTTGTTCTCTCGGTCACGTATGACGTGATTTTTCCGTCATTATTTCCGCTTTCAATCGCGGGTATATTTATAAATTTCTCTGTTCATTTTAGCGAACGAATCTCTCCGCTGATTAATTACAGAAGAAAAGCAATCGCAAACATCTCGCATCCTTATTTTTTCCGATTTCGCTTATTTTTAATTAAGAGAATTACTTTCTCCTTTTTCTTTAATGCGACTCCTATCGCGGAGAATAGATTTCGAAAGACCTTCACTCCTGTAAATAAAACATTCTCGAAGCTTTTAAAATGCGCAAATTGTTATCTACGTGGTCAGTTATGCAGTATTTAAAGTACAGAAAAATGGATAATTACTGAGAGCAATCTGGAATAGTACATAGTCTAAAGAATGCAATGCTTGCTCCTCTTGTTATTCTATAGAAAAGTCTAATGAAATCTATAACCATTCATATTTTGGGAAAAATACAATTTCAACTTATTATTTGTTTAAAGCAAATATATTTACAAAAAGGCTCTGAAACACATGAGATTAAAAAACCTAATTTATATCTTAATTTTATTTTACAAGAAGGATATTTAATATTTCAAGAAAAATTAAATCAAGAAAGTATGCAGTATAAGTA